GCACAGAGACCTCCCCTATTTCAGCCGCATTCCACCTTGGGATAGAGAAGGGTGGACGAGTTTCACGAACCTAACTCTAGTTGCTCCAGTGCCAAAACATTGGGTCGCAATGGGACCGCTGCCTCAAACTGCACAACATTCACACCAACTTCATCTCCCTTAGTCCGCCTCCTAAAGCTTAGTCCTCAGGAAGGGGACTGTGAGGGAAGGGATTATGAGATTACGTGATGATGATTATGTGATTTTTCTCTTTTCACAACAGTATCCCCTCCCACTCCGACAACGCCAGCGTCGACATTGTTTATAGAAAGCATGGTTCTCCTAAAAAGCTCAAAGACAGGTTTTTAAGCTTCTGCTGATTCTTTTGAGTCCTTAGACTGTTCTTATCAGAGAGTCTATTAACCTCATTAGAATTCAAGAAAAGAGTCTCTAAAAAATAGCTTGTGGCATTTCCCTACACTTTTTCCATCGTTAGTTCCATTAATATCATAGAGTTTTTCCGTATGCGCATTTACTGACAGCGAAGACGGAAGAAAAGCAGTAAGGGGCATAGGAGTAGACCGCCACTTAGCCATTCGAGACAGCAATGGTCATTCGTGACTCCCTTGTTGAGGAAAACAAGAGTAGTCGATGTCAGCAAAATTATCTTTATCTCATCGAAGTGTTTTTGAGCAATGTGGTTGGGCTTGGTAATACTCATTTCGCTTGAAGAATCGGTTACCTACGGTCCTGATCGCAAGGGTGAGTGCCAGCAGTGACGTCTTGTACAGAACCCAGGGAAAAGAAGATTCTTTTCAGGGTAGTCGTCATGGGGAAGACAGAAGCTGGAGATGAACCAGTGTCATTTACGTGAGTCATGAATTAAGCAGGCAACATTCGAGCAACGGATTCTGGCGCTATCGTAGGATGCAATGGCGTCCCTCAGGATCAAGTTGATGAGGCGCAGGAACCTCGGAGAAAACGGGGATCGCTCACGAACGGATCCTCCCCTCTTCTGCCTAAGACTCAGTGCCGTTTTCAACAGAAAGGGGGATATTTCACGCGGTTTTGACCACATTGTCACCAAATGCTATAGCGTCCAAATCCTTATCCGCTTTTCTTTTGCCGATGCCAAGCATGTAATGGGGAACTTGAACTAGTAGCTCACTTATCGGCTTTTCAGAGATACAAATGCCGACACCGCCGCAGGAGGTAGCAAGGCTACAGGTTCAGCCATGATGGATTTGATTAGCGGCCTGCAAAAGGAAAAGGGCTCAACCACGGGAGGCTCATCCACTGTAAGTACGAAGTGTTCACTGACTGAAAAGGCCTTTGAGCCACAAATAGATAAGGATACAATAGAGAGGCTATTCATCATGGTGAATAGTGATTAGTTAAAGCGAGTGATTACGATAAAATCGGGTAGGTTCATAGTAGAAATAGGGATGCTGAATAATGCTCCAGTGGTGAAAAAGTGAAGGAATCCGTCAAGAACATACAAAGTGGGGTCACTTTCTCCGATAGTGGACGAGTCAGCAATCAACGAAGGGTTCGTTCGCGTGGTTAAACGATCTTCCGATCATGCCACGACCCATGCTTTGATGGTAAGCTTCCGAAAAAAGTTTTGGTGGCGGTTCAGGTCCTCAGGGGGGGAATCACAAGAGAGCAATGGTAGGTACACTGGACTTAGGGCCTAATGGAGGGGGAGAACGCAGGGGGGAATTATTATCATGTGCTCAATCCTACCAGATTCCTTCTTTGTCTAGGCCTTGTGCAAGCCACAGCAATTGGCATCGGCAGCAAGCAATTCCCGTATTAGGCAAATGGAATGCTATTTAGACCGGCTCAGTTTATCCACTCTAAATCAATTGTAGAGTCATATGCAGTCATGACATAAGGTATAACTGGCAGTTTCATATGAACTGCGACTGAGCGGCACCACACACTAGGGCTCAATGAACTTGGGCACGCTTTGTAGACTCACTAGTAACAATGTAATGCGGTCATTCGGAAGTTATGGCTATCTTTGACATGTGACCTAATATTTGAGGGTTGCTCCAGTTTCACTAAAGAGGCCCAATTGTGATTGCTAGGGGCTGTGGAGCTTAACTGGAACCGATATACCTCGTGGATCGTGAAGTAGCCGTAACTTCAATGGTCATAGCTTATGTACTCCAAACCATAAATAGAAGTCAGTGACTATAAATGCATAAGCATGTGTTCATTTTCAGACCAGCGGGTCAACAGGTAGAGGAAAGAAGAAGAAGAAGAAGGGCAAAAAGGGCAAGACGGTCGTAAAAAGAAAGAGAAGAAAGGATCGTTACGAATCACAAAACTACCTGTTGCGTATTGAAGGCACACTCTGTTGTGCATCAATTAGTGAGTGAAGCACCTTTGGGCCAGTCCTCCAGGGCCAGATATTCTTCCTTTCCGATCAACCAGAACTGTCAAAACTTTACATTGACCAATTTCAGTAATCGCCATAATCTGGCTGGTTTCGCTATTCGTTGTGTTTCTGATTTGCGGAATTTGGAGCGGTTTCGATTTCAGTGCAACCAGTGACTCGGTGAAGGATAAGAAATAATAGATTTTGTTTTTGCCCCTCACCTGAAGAAGGTGTTTTTTGTATAACTTTAGCGGCTTCAAATAAAAGTATGAAATAAAGCCCACTCCACTGTGATAATGTGCTTCCAGTGTTTGCGTTCATGCAAATCGACATACAGTCGATATCCGAAAGTTGGGGTGGGTGTGTCACCGGAAGTGACGTGCACTTGATAGAAGTGCGTGGATAAGCTGTTGCCAGCATGCTTTGCTGATATCCAGCGATGTATGTTGGAAGCAGCTTATCCACATAGCTTCTATCAAGTGCACGCCCACCCCAACTCACCGATATCGAGTATAGCAGTTTCATCTTCATTTTTCATCGTCATTGACTCGTTGAGCTGACGATTTGTGCCAAATCTTTTGCTGCCAACTGCGTGTCGGTCAGCACCTTCGGGAGATCCGTCTGTCTCCCAACCTCCCAAAATACCTATGAATTTCATTTGAGAGCAAATATACCTGACGGTATTTCACTGGACCCAGGGTGAAGAGCGAAGCTAGTGATCTAACATGAAGGTAATTCATGCCTTCCGTGAACTATTAAGTTGTTGCATTACGAATGACGCACCAGGTTTAGCTTCACCCCACTCGGCTGTGTCCGAACATCCAGAGGTACTAAGCATTCATTCGAAAGAGGAAATCTAGGAGTATAAAAGCGACTACTCGTTGCCCATATCATTTTGTTTTTTACATTTTTCTTTTAAACGATGACTGACCGGAATTTCCGTGTGTACACGTGAATGTTCTACGACATCTTGAGGGGATGAATTTAGCTCACACGGTCACGGCAGGTCTTCGTAAACAAAAATCGACCTACATCAAACCGTGCATTGGCTCGGCGAGAAAGAAAAACAACATTTCATAAAATCACTTCACGACGAAAAAGCTGCATTTTACGAAAAAAAAATCAGCAAAAAAGTGCGAGACCAGGCTGAAACATTTCACTTCGCCGCCAAACAGCTCTGGTCACACTATGTGCTGCGCATCCGAGTCAACGCGGCACGTTTTGAAGGAGAAACAGTTCAGAGAGTACAAAAAATTCGGAATCTGGGTGTCCATGTTTACCTGCGCACAGTTACTACGATTCTTCGAGAAGGACATCGAGTCTCTGCGTGAGGTCCTGCAAAATAAGGTAGTATTCATCCCTCTATCTGAGCCGAATCGCTATGTGCCAACAAATTTTGTGGAACACTCATGCTTGAAATAATACATCGGACGATCTTTAGTTGTTTCTTTGATACGATGTGAGGTGAGTTTAGGATCTTGCAATTTTGGATAACTCACTTCTGAATACCTTCTTATGAATCCTCTTATTATGTACACCGCTAACTCAGTGTGTCAGCTTGTATGAATAGTACCGCTCAAAATTCTTCGGTGGAATGCTTTTTCGACTGTAACTTTTATTGCACGTAATCAGGTCAGCTTCGAAACTCCAATATGTTTTGAAGGCAGGCCTTCTCCTCCTATTGTTGGTTGGGAGAAAAATTCAAGAATAAAAGAACTTCACCAAAAATTCTCGAGTACGACCAAATTCCAAGTAGGTCTCAAGTCATTGTAGAAAGATCAAATTCATTAAAACAATCTAATGCATGATGGATAACATTAAACAGGTTCAATTCTTCTTTATTAATAACCAGTTTAGCTCCGCCCGCTACCGCGCGCATTGATAGAACTGACAATCGATGAAGCTTTAGGTTTCATCGCTAAATTATAGCTGCTTCGTTAAATGTATTACTGTTCGTTGCATAGGCTGGCTGTATCTCACTGTTTGATAAGCGCAGTGAAGTGCACAGCTAAAGTGATGATGTAAACAACCACTATGCGTCGAGTATCGAGGTAATTTAGCGGTCGAATATCTCAAAACGGAATGCCAGTATTCATTATCATATTTATTCGAGCATCCCATTCATCCTCAAGAACTCTAGAAGGTGTAGCGGTCGAAAGGTGTTTGAGTTTACAATTACAACGCTGATGAAATGATATTGAAATGAAAGGCATTATCTACAATCTGCTCTCTATTTTCTATTTCAAGTGCTCTCTACGTTCGTACGCATATCGTCCTATCAGTCCTCTCGTTATCACTTTGTGACCCCCACCAAATATGTTCCCGTCCCACCCCCTATATCATGCCCCAAAATCAGCTCCTGACGACTGCTGCGAAGCGCACTATGAATTTCGTGCGAAATTGCGCGTCAGCGCCTCCTATCAGTCGTTATCACTTTTGACCCCCACCAAATATGTTCCCGTCCCACCCCCTATATCATGTCCCAAAATCAGCTCCTGACGACTGCTGCGAAGCGCACTATGAATTTCGTGAAATTTGTGTTTCAGCGCCTCTTATCTGCTCTTATCAGTCGTTATCACTTGTGACCCCCACCAAATATGTTCCCGTCCCCCCCTATATCATATCAAAAAATCAGCTCCTAACGACTGCTGCGACGCGTGCTATGAATTTCGTGACACACGCACACACACACACACAAACAGACAGACATAGCGCTTTTTATATATAGTAAGGATTTATTGTGGAGTCGCTGAACTTGCAAAAAGACCTTTAAGTTAAGCAATCATCACTGAATTGCACTGTCTCACGGAGCAATCTTCCTACATTCTCATCAATATTTTGGACGAGTTCATCGCCATATTCCTGGCTCTTAGTTCTAACTAAATTATTCCCACCCTTTTACATAATGTTTATGGAGCCCAGCACTGGCGTCTGAGTTGGTCTCTTCGTTGAACGCGCGCATGCTGTCAAAATCTACTTCACAGTAGAGGTGCGATGTTTTTGGTCGCTCTTTTGCTAGGAGGCGATCTCAGTCGCGTCCAGCGCGCCACACATGTGAGCATACGCAAGCTCCTTCGTAGAGTCTACCTGAATTTACGCCGCTTCTTCTGCCACTTTAACCTATGCATTTGTTGAGCATCTTTTACGAACTACCAGCCTCCGCCAAGTTTTACATACGGCAGTTAATTCCTTGGATCGAAACGTTTTCCTCAGGACCCACACATTCCTATTTCAGTCGCCGGCAAACATCTTGAATTTACTCTCGTTGGTCCACAAGACGTTAGAGCCTCTGTGGGGATCTCCAGATTAGGTGTCCGTAAAACATATCCGTTGGCGACCAGTCCAAAAACTGCGACACACACGGCTGCATTGACGTCAACTTGCTCAAACCCGCTCCGTACGACAAGGCGAAGTCTCCAAAGTTTTGCTCTATTGCTCCAGAACTTGTAATGCAAAGTGTCCAGTTGCCTTGCGGCATCGATATAGATGGTGAAAACTCCAATACCTGATGTTTGCAGATGATATCGTGCTAATCGGTAATGATCCGAGTGACTCGAAACTCATTGAGATCCTAAGCAATGCATCTCGCTCCATTGGACTTGAAATCCACCCAGGCAAAACTAAATGGATGAAGAACAGTTTCACGAGAGATTACTGCTTACGCATGAAAGGCTCAGTCATTGAAGAAGTCTCCGTCATACGTTTATCTAGGCCAGGCAATCACAATGGACAATGATCTCACAATCGAAATAGGCCGTCGCCGTAAGGCAGGCTGGGCAACATTCAATAATATCGTGATGTTCTTACTGATAAGCGGCTTGACGCTCAGATCAAAGCCCGAGTGTTCAACACCCATGTCCTACCAGCTTTGGTGTATGGAAGCGAAACATGGAGTACAATTAAAGACGAAGAAAACCTGGCATCTACCCAAAGTGCAATGGAACGAGCGATTTGCACACGCTAATACATAAAATTCCTACAACTTTGAATTTTGATAGGGCTTTGTCTCCGCTTTACTCTATGCTTTTGTGGAAGGCAACGAGTCGCAGGCGGGTAATTCGCACATGCACTTGCAGTCTAGTATTGCGCAATGAATCATACAGTCCATTCTCGTATCGGCACCATTTCGTGACGGTATCCTAGTTCGGCTATTTGCTTCGAAACGTGTTTTTTGATCAAGCTGAATTGCGATTATATCGCGGTTATCGAAAATATCGAAGTGTCAACAACAGCGAGATACGGAATTTCTTCAACGTATTACTTGTTTTCTGGTAGAATCTTTTCAGCAGATGAGCATGAAAGTCTATAACAAAGAACCTTCGCTTTTTGCATCTATCCCCTAAACAGGTTCGAAGTATAAAGAGGGTTGTGCATTGTGCAGGAAGTCTTTTTATCACACAAAACCCTCGCTGGAGATCGGCTACAGCCATTGAATTCGGCTGTGGAATGTGACAAGGATGAGGTCTGATATAGAGCGTTGAAATGAAGGTATTGCGAAATCGTCGCACTCCCTCCCCCCTGAGAGCAGCCGATAACGGTTGATAAGGGAGGCGAGTTCAGTGTCGTGCACCAAAGTCATTGTATCATTCATGTGACTAGTAAATGGACACTGCAGCTATGTAGAGATATTTGATACGAAGAAAATGCGACTTTTGTTTTTTTTTTTGTTTTTGCCCAGTTAATTGTCGACATAAATATTCAATTCACTGTTAAGCAGCCCGTGTTTTTCCTGAATTGCCGATGTTTTTGGGAATATGATAAGCAGTGGGTTATAGATAGCGAGTAACCGATATTTGTTGCACAATGAGTATTCGGCTTCTGGATTAGAAACTGTAGAGACCGTGAGAGGTTGATCCCACCGCCAAAAATACACGCTGATTTCCATCGTGAAATGCCTTAGCAGACCTTTCCAGTGTTTCGCCATTTCTGCCGAAGCTCACCACTTGAAACGCGCGATAGAGTGCAGAGCTAATCACAGCTAGCTATGTGAACAATCACCATGCCTTGAATGTCAGGAGCGGTTAAATAATATTTGTTGCTAATGATGTTGGAATAGAAATGCCTTGTGATCATCATCGCTTATATTCACGCATTATCTACAATTAGGCAAAGTAGCGGTCGAATGGAATATGGTGCTGATGACGGAACGCAAGTGGAATAAAAATGAAATAAGCTGTGGTTCTTATCTAGCATTTGGTTCAAAGCGACTTCAACCTTGCCTTACGTGCATTGCTATTACCGGCCCTTATCAGCTGTTATCATTCTCGATCCACAACCAAATATGTTCCCGTCCCACACTCTACATCACTTGTTGGAATCAACGCCTCACTGCTGCTGGGACACGCGCTATGAATTTCGTGACTTTGCGTTCAGCGCCTCTTATCAGCCCTTATCAGCCTTATTTTTCTGTCCCCCACCAAATGTGTTCCCGTCCCACCCTGCACGATATTTCTTGGAACCAATCTCACTACTGCAGGGACGCACGCCAGAATGTCGCGAAAATTGTGTGTTGGCGTGTCTTATCATCCCTAGCCAGACGCTACACTTTCTGGCCCTCACAAAGCATATTTCCCTCCCAGCCCTTACATAATACTAAAAGTGCAGCTCCATGACTGCAACGAAGCACGCTACAAGTTTCGTTACAAACAGGAGCGCACACACGGAACTTAGCGAATGCTTCTATTTTATAAACGCTAACTTGGTGTGTCGGTTTTTATGTATAACCAGTTTTGCTCCGCCCGCTATCGCGCGCATGTCAACATAGGCTTCTGTGAAACAGAGTATAGCCGGGCTGTTGTATTGAGTGAGAAACATACTGCTTTCAATTGATTTTACTGATGGTATTAAGGAAAGCAGATGATAAAGCAGTAATTTCTCATAGCTCCAATACCAATAAACATCCATCATTTTTCTAGAATTAACAGAGTCTAGCAGTAGCAGCAGATGACCTTTGGATAAAACAGACGGACCTCCTGAGTGCTGACCGACGTGCAATTGGCAGCGGAAGATTTGGTTCCGGCGATCTAGAATGGCTCTCTTTTGGCGCGGTTGGCGGGGCACGCTCACGTTCTGTAGATCAAATGCCAAGGAAGGAGTTCATTTTCCTGGTTCTGGGCCGCTTTGCACGGTTTCCTTTTCATCTCTGCTCCACTGTCCTCCCAATGAGCTAACCTTGTAAGTTCTGCCTTTGATGCACATTACTGTCCATATCAAAAGATAAGATGTGGTAGTATTGCAGGTGAACTGATGCTCGAAACATGCAAATACGCCAGTTATTAACAGTATCATCGCTTGCCTCTTCATGTTTCCGTGTGGAGCTACTTCATGCACCCTTCACTATAAACCCATCTACAAGGCTGTTGACTAATATATGTAGCAAGGTTAGCTGATAGTGAAGGATGCATCAAATAGTCAGACCTAAACAATGGCTGCTATTGACTAGATATTGAGTCTGAACATGAAGCAGGCATTTTCCACTCGTTTTCCACTGTCTTATTCTGTAGAGATATGCTTGTTGTCATCACTAAATCACGATCTTTGTGGCTAATGTTTACAAAGTATACCGGTATAGTCATACTGAAGTAACATTATAACCCAGCTCTGGCATTTATGGGAAGGTCTTGAAGAACATGTACTGTCACCCAATAATTTGTTTGATCCCGCCTCTCTATTAGGATTTCCTTAGACACGACTTATCAAAGTGGATTTCTTTTTTTTTCTTAAATTTTAATTTTGTCACTTAAGAGAAAACGATCCTTGTCGTTTCCCACACACGTAGTAGAATAGAAATTACGGAGTCGTCAAGTCCCTCAACGATCAAGGATCGAGACGTCGCAAATGTCATGAAAAGTTTAATCAAGAAGTTACAAATACCTTGCATATCGACTCCATGTCGTATGAAATATTTCCGTACATCTGCCTACTGGATCAGGAGTTCGGAAACCTTGTGAATCGTCCTCCTCAACTACCTCGACGATAAACACGTATTAGAACAAGTGCCGCAAAGACGCTCGGATTCGCTTCACCACACGTGGTTGTTTCGAAATCAGGATCGTCCTGAATTAAGGTTCAATAAGCAGTTTGGGTGCAGAGCCATAGTTGAGTGCTACAAAATTTGAATTGCCAATAATAGCTTGAACACAAATGTGTGTGTTTGTAGCAGGTTGGAAAACCCTAAAAAAATGGAATCGGTGACTCAAAACACCACAATGTTATGCGAACGGAATACCACTGAGTCAGTTAATCAAAAACGTCTTTAATTAGTGTAGCAAGGATCAAGAACAAAATCTATTATTTCTTATCTTTCACCGAGTCACTGGTTGCGCTGAAATCGAAACCGCTCCAAATTCCGCAAATCAGAAACACAACGAACAGCGAAACCAGCCAGATTATGGCGATTACTGAAATTGATCAATTTGAAGTTTTGACAGTTCTGGTCGATCGGAAAGGAAGAACATATCGCCCTGGAAGACTGGCCCAAAGATGCTTCACTCACTTATTGATGCACAACAAAGTGTGCCTTCAATACGCAACAGGTAGTTTTGTGTACTATTCGTCATACGATCCTGGTCGTCTCTTTCTCATTTACGACCGGTCTTGCCTTTTTGCCCTTTGTCCTTCTTCTTCCTTCTACCTGGTGATCCGCCTAGTCTGACAATATATCCACATAACGATGTGTGAATGACACCCGCAGTCGCAGCCTTTCTCTGAGGGGGGGCGGGGGTGAGCGGGCAATATACGGAACAGTCACGAACAGAAGGAGACAAGACGAGAACGCAGAAGATATCAAATCTCTGATCTAAATTTGAATGAGTATCTTGACGGAAATGGATATTCAGCAATAAAAGCCTAGTTAATCTAATTATCTACTATTGTTTCGGCATAGCATGGTTATTGTCAGAAGGGATGTCAGAGCGTTCACTCCGCTAGTTAAAATACCAATAGTGATAGGCGCTTTAAATATTCACCGTTTTCCACAACAAAAATCACAGACCTCACATCATTTAACTCGGCCGACCGAACCCCCATAAGAGAGACTAATGGGGCAATGTTTAGAAGTATCAGATTAAGCTTAGTATTAGCTTTGCGAGACGGGAATTCTTCCTCCTGGATTTGGCGAATCGATCTTCCGGAGAAACCAAAGCCTTCACCAGGACAATCCCCGGCAGCCACAATATATCGTTGGTGGTGGAACTCTCTCCGAAAAAATATAGCTTACACTTGGTCACGCAGCTTTCACATCTTTTCTCTTATAAATTCTTTTAAACTCTCGCAAAAGGATATGCCGTTGCGCTGCAATCGACAATTAGTGTTGTAGGTAAATGCGAGTTTCCACACGTCTCAAGGATTCCAAAAGCACAAAAACGTGCGCAGCATCTGTTCAGATAGAAGTGTGATTCGTCTAATTCGAAAAAATTATGCATCCCCGTAGTTCTGTAATGCTTTTCATGTTCGCTTAAGTAATAAATAGTACTTAAAATATTTAGTACAATAATGGAGTAAGTAATTGATTAATATAATAATGTTTACTGGTCGACGGCCGGGCAAGACTATCCACTACCTTGTCTTTACTGACGACACAGTTTGATAACGCGAATACTCGAACAAGCTAGGCGAAATGCTGGCTGAAACAGTGCCTCTACTGCCGCCTGTGAGTTATGGGTAATCGCGTTGCAGTGTTGGAAAATTTCTAACGAAGACGTAGTGTTACGATTGTGAATAACGAGATATGGACCTGAGGCCCAATTCACGCTTCAACGGATAGCACTACGAACACCACCGAATCTCCAGCCTACGTAAGGTACCTAAATATCGGGTGAATCATATATGATGAACTACCTAGCCACCAAACTCGAGCCAGGAGAACGAGCGGCATGGGGAGCACTTGATAACATCGAGGGAGTAGAGAAGAATACGAAGACTGCCCTGATCTACGCCTCAGAGACTTAGACTCTGCGCAGGCAGCGACGACCATGCGGTCAGCCGTTATCGAACTCTGGCGGAAGGGTGTGGAGAACGAATGCGAGTAACTCATAAAGCATGGCAGAGCGGAATCCGGAGTTCAGAGACTAGCCAACGTGTGTGAAGATCAGGACGCTCTCCGTTTTTTCGCAAAGGGAATTCGAAGATAAGTATTCCGTGACACGTCATGGCGATTTTATGCGGATGACTGTTCGGAGCAAATAGCAGTAGGCGGCATTTATCGACTGAGTCATCCCTTCGGGACTGGTTCATCGGAGGAACACTAGGCGACACGACGGGCCCAATGTCAAGACTCACGAAAGCTCTGAACGGAAGGAATGAACGGCTTCAGCTCCAATGTTACAGCTTCCAACAATTCAACGAATTGACCATGTGCAAGCACCGACAACTGTTGAGGCTCTTTAGGTCGCGCATAGTTTGCGTCTCCGTAGATTCGGATAGTACGCGACAACGAAAAGAATATGTATTGACGGAGAGACTAGGATAGTACTAGATTAGGATAGTAACAGACTAGGATAGTGCGCTGACAAGAAGATAGATATGTATTGATCTGAAATCGCTTGAGATCGCCCAATCTACTACTCTCCAGCGATTTCAATCGATACGTATCCAATCTTGTCAGCGCAATCTCCTACTCTACTACTATCCTAATATCCACATCGCCTGCTATCCTAAGCCTTCCAAGCCGAGAACTTTGAACTCGGCCTTATCGCGTTTGTTGTTTAAGCATCAGTCAGGTATTATTCGAGATTGATGATATGATTGATTAGGTAATCAGGCACTATCTTGAAAGCTGTTGAAATTGTTTTTGGGCACTCTCAAAAACCCGTCGAATTGATCAAGTACTAGAGCTTTAATAACACTTCTTTTGCAGCTAAAGGGCTTATTTAGTCAGTGAATAATTCGTACTCACAGTGGATGAGCCTCCAGTGGTTGAGCCTTTTTCTTTTTGCAGGCCGCTTATCAAATCCATCATGGCTGAACCTGTAGCCTTACTACCTCCTGCGGCGGTGTCGGCATTCGTATCTCTGAAAAGCCGATAATGTGAGCTACCAGTTCAAGTTCCCCCTTACGTGCTTGGCATCTGCAGAAGAAAAACGGTTAAGGATTAGGACGCTATCGCATATGGTGGCAATGTGTTCAAAACCGCGTGAAACATCCCCTATCTGTTAAAAACGGAACTGAGCCTCAGGCGGAAGAGGGAAGACCTCATTTGTGAGCAGTTCTCGTTTCTTCAAGGTACTTGCTTGGTCCTGAAGGACGCCCTTGCCTCCTACGATAGCGCCAAGATCCGTTGCTCAAAGTTGCCTGCTTAATTCATGACTCACGTAAATGACACTGGTTCATCTCCAGCTTCTGTCTTCCCCATGACGACTACCCTGAAAAGAATCTCCCTTTCTGCGTGTCCTCACCATGAACACTGTATTTACTCTTACCGTCACGATCAGGACCGTAAGCGACGGTTTCTTCAAGTGAAATGAGTATTACCAAGCCTTATCCGATTGTTCGAAAACAAAGTTCGATGAGATAAAGATAATTATGCAGGAATCGATTGCTCTTGTTTTACCCATCAAGGCAGTTCACAAATGATCATTGCTGTCTCGAACTACTAATTGGCGGTTAATGCACATGTGTTTTACTACTGATTTCTATGCTGTCTTCCTTCTTCGAAAAATAATGCATAAGAATTAGATGCTGTGAATAATGGAATGGCGAAAAACAAGTGGCCAATCTTTTAATTTTTTCTCGCTGGACAGTTCCTTGTTAACTATGAAGCGCCTCTGCTCACTTGACTGTGTTGTCAGTTCTGCAGCATGTCGTAGATCCTCGACAACCTGAAATCGTCTGGAGAGGCGGGGTAAGGTTTGGGTAGGGACAGTTTTTCGAGTAAGGGACATACATCGGCTGGCGGGTGACTCTAGAACGAGGTATTAGGTTCGGGTGGCAAACTACGCCCACGTTCAACTGGCGCCTCGCCGCACTAAAATCGTTTGGACAGCCTACAAATGGGCGTAGGGTGAGTCGAAGTCGTGACGAAGTTATAGAACTTCAAATTCGATTCGAAAAAAACCTAGAAACCGGAAACAAAATGAGTGTGATTGTGTGTTGGTAAGCCATAGAGAGACCCACCTTCGGTGGGCGGGGCGTTCTCTAAAAAGTGGTGCTTAAAGGAAGCGATTACGATAAAGAGGGAGCGCATCGGGGAAGCATGTGCACCACACGAATCAGTTACTTGGCTGCCAGGGAAGCGAGATGTGGCGCTTTCACGACGAAAGGTGCGCTGGTTGCTGAGCAGGACTTCGAAAGCGCTCCGCCCCCAAAAGCGATCCGCCCACTAGTTTACTTGTTGATTTGGACGAGCTGCGTTGCCAGCAGCGGCGCAAATGGAGCATCTCGATTGTTTGGCATGGTGCCATCAAACGCGTTGCGGTGAACTCGTTCATACGTCCACTTTCTGAGCTGTTACCTGTTCATGAGTGAAAACCAACGGCCAAAAAGGGGGTCCCGTTTTGCGTTTTCTTGACGGATTTTTCTGCTTTTTTCGCTATGGCGTACCACCACGCATTGAGCACCACCACGTCACACTATGTATTTATCGTAAGAGCTGCCTTTAATGGGAATTTTTTTGAATTTGGTTAGGAGAAAATGGTGCAGGAGGCAATGTCTAGGGTATCCCCAACATACATGGCGTGGGCGAAGTCCCGCGCTAATGGACGGTGCATGTTGTGAAGTAAATAGAGTTCCCTACAGATCCTCATAATTCGGTTCCGACAAGAATTAGAGAGCAGGACGAAGGAGGGGAGGTAGTGGCGGGCACGGCGTAAGCCAAATTGTGCGAAGTTTGCTACCAAAGCCATATCTCGTTTCCAGGAAGTCCTGGACACCGGGAAAAATGTGGATTAAGGTTGGTGAAGGAAAGGAGGTCGACGCACGTTTGCGACAAAGAAGGGAAGGTGGAAGCCATATGTGGGTGGGGCATAGGACGTGGCGAGCGGAGCTAAATTCCGAAGTTGCAATATCGTTCCAGAAAGCCAGGGAGAGCCATGGAAAAGCTTATAGGGCCTAGCTTCGAAGCAGATATCCTACTATATATAATTCGCTAAGTATGTCTGTGCGTGTGTGTGTGTGTGTGTATGTGTTTGTCTGTCTGACCGGAAATTCATAGCTCGGGCACCAGTGGTCGTCAGGAGTTGGTTTCAAGATATGATATAGGGGGTGGGACGGGAACATATTTGGTGGGGGTACAGAAAGTGATCACAACTGATAAGGGCTGATAAAAGGCGCTAGAACGCAAGTGTCGCGAAATTCATAGCTCGGGCACCAGTGGTCGTCAGGAGTTGGTTTCAAGATATGATATAGGGGGTGGGACGGGAACATATTTGGTGTGGGGGCACAAAGTGATAACGACTGATATGAGCAATTTCGCAGACCTGCCACTGTCTGGTACACCTTCCTTCCTGGAGCGTGCCTGGGCCTCCCTCGATCACATAGGCTCTCAGTGCTCTTCTTTCAATGGCTTCCCTATGGCAGCCCACACTCTGTACCGGCTTCAAAGCTCAGAAGCGTTGTCTTTTTCACACTCAACTGGAGCCCTTCTTCTAAAGCACCTCCTCGCCCATTTCTGCACTGGTTCCAAAGTTTCCCTGCTGCACTGGTATCAGTGTCCGAATTCATACGGCAATCGATATTCAGTACTCCACTTTTTAACACGCTTCAACATGTATCAGGGAATCCACACCTTTTGGAGTAAATCCTTGCAGAGATGTCAAAAGCGCATAACCTGGAGTAGAGGTGTTTTCTCCAATCAATTTGTCTGGACCAAATCTTGTATAAGATCGTGGAACAATAGAAACTAGTGAAGATGCAATTGTAATGATAGACAGGATGGAGTGGTAAAATCCCTAAGGCCGATGTCAGACTTTGCGAATCGCGCGATTCGCTAGCGTCCGCGGTCGCGTTGCGGTACCAGCCAATTGAGTGATTCACTGGCCGCGACGCGACCGCAGACACTCGCGCGATTCGCAAAGTCTGACATCGGCCTAAAAGCCCCAATTACACGCGCACGGTATAGGGGATCAGGTCGTTAGATTCCACGCCAACGTCACACCACTAAGCCCTCCATTCCTCTAGAGAGTGAGATTGACAAGTCATGTAAAAGGTCAGCCCGCCATTTCAAATGACAAGTCGCGTTCATGACTCAGAGCAGCGATAACATGGTGCATCCCTAATGAGGGAATTTGATCGAAGCTGACACGATCACCCCTTTTTCTGTCATGAAAAACCCTAATGGCAGCACTGATGATAAACATAAACGTCTGTTGGAGCTATTCACATTCGTGATCGTTTAGAAATATACCGATGCTCATATTTTTCTGAAATGGCAAAAATTTCTAAATACTATAGGAAGCGTTGAATTCCACTCAGGAAAGGATAAGGAGATCTCGTAGAATAGCCCTGATCGTTGGACCTTGCCACTCCATTATTGCACAGGTTACTTGGAGTTACACAAGGTTCAGAAACTTTTTGCCCGCTTGTATCAAAACGACTTATCACTTGAAGCATCCCTGGAAAGGACAATGGAAGGATAAAGCATTTGCCGTTGATCAATCCCTTTTTGGGATGCGGCACGCATTCTACTTCCATTTGTACATTCGCAGTGGCGTTTGAATGCGATGTGGCCTATACAATGACTTGCGGGGCCAGCCGATGTACAAGTCAGTGTTTTTATCCTCCCAGACAAGTCTGGTACCAATTAACCGACCCCGGGGGATGGAAGGCTTGGTTGGCCCGGGCGACTCACGACCCAGGATTCAGTCATCGGACCGCGTGTCCGACCTTCCCTGACAAGGACACGTCCACATCCTGGGTCACTATTCTAGCTCTGCTCACCTTCCGTTTTGAAGACTTTTTTTCGTGATTCCTACACGTACAGTCCATATCTCGAAGTCTGATTGGGCGTGTCACCGGAAATGACGTGGCAGCCACCGCACTTGATAGAAGTTGCGCGGATAAGCTGCTTCCAGCATGCTTTGCTGATATCCAGCAAAGTTGTTGGAAGCAGCTTATCCGCGCAACTTCTATCAAGTGCGGTGGCTGCCACGTCATTTCCGGTGACACGCCCAATCAGACTTCGAGATAAAGACTGTATCCCTTAGGATTAGAAAAATTATGAGCCCTTTGCTTCTGTTTGAGAACTTTCGGCAAACGTGATGCTAGGCAATTCAGCGTTCTGTAGTGCTGTCTGGGAGCTCTCACACATGCACACCATTACAGCATCCCTGCTTTGTTTAGCTCCTCAAAAAGGCTTAGGCCGATGTCACACTTTGCGAATCCAGCGAATCGCGGGGTACGATCGCTGCACCAGCGGATCGTACTATGTAAAGGCGACTGGACACTGAAAGTCCCTCGTTTGCACATTGACTCGCGCTATTTACGCTAGCTCTCTTGCCTTCTCACTCTCTCACGAACAAGTAAGCCCGGCAAAAGGCGAGAGCCAATTTTGAAATCTAGTTCCGGCACTTTTGAACAGTGTCCAGCGCTGGTGCTCAATTCGCTGACGCAACGCTCGTATCTCGCGATTCGCTGGCGAATCGCCAAGTCTGATCCGGCCTTAGTCTTAATACTATGCAAAGCGTCTTTTTTTATCTACACTATTACCCTTTGATTGACAAAAGCCTTGTAATCTGTTGTTCCCAGCTGCCAGGTTGATGTCTCTGCAGGCTTCAATGACAACGGCCTCCAAATAAGTCTGGTTAATAGTGGTTCATAGTGATAGCGATTTTTGGTAAATGATAATTGTGACAACTGATAGAATACAACTGCAAGGGCTAAGTCATTTCATTGGCAGAAAACATTTACATTTTGTGGAGGCCGTCGTCACTTGTGGTGTATGGTCTGCACCTGACGCTCTTCTCGTTTTTTGAAGGAAGTATGCACTACGTTCCTCATCCTGGAAAGAAGACATGAAATCAAGATAGTGCGTTCTCTTCAACTAATGAAAGCTGAACATCGATCGTCTTTCAGTGAACTTCCAAGACTTAACACGGAAAGATGCAAAGTTAACAAGTTAATATTATCTTATCTTAGCAGGTTGGGCAAGTTAGCGTTATCTTATCTTACTTGAGACCGATATGATAAGCACGGTGACTCCCACTCGACATTCTCCGTTGCACCCAGTCCTGATTGTGGTGGTGAGTGTAGTAGTACAGTGCTTGGGTGATCGTGTGCAGGGTGCAAGAAAGGTCTCCTTTCAGAATATTCAAGATGGCGAAGAAAGAAGACGATAACCTCTCAGTGACGTGAGTTACCACAGTTTTAGTTGAATGAACAGCAAGTTCTCAT